CTCTTTATACAGTATTCTGTTCCTTGAGCTGGATGGTGGTTACTTGAGCTGGATGGTGGTTACCTGTTCTCTTTTTAATAATTTGTACATTTAAGGCTGGGTGCCGTGGCTCACGCCTGTAATCCCAGCACTTTGGGAGGCTGGATCACCTGAGGTTGGAAGTTTGATACTAGCCTGACCAACATGGTGAAACCCTGCCTCTACTAAAAATACAAAATTAGCTGGGCCTGGTGGCGTAAGCCTGTAATCCCAGCTACTCGGGAGGTTGAGGCAGGAAAATCGCTTGAACCCGGGAGATGGAAGCGGTAAGCCAAGATCACACCATTGCACTCCAGCCTGGGCAACAACAGTGAAACTCCGCCTCAAAAAAATAAATAAATTAATAATAATAATTTGTACATTTATATTTATGTAAATTCTAATGCATGCCATATTTAACAATAAAAGGAGTTAAATTTAAAAAGCAAAGATCCTGCCTCACATCTTCACTCAACCACCATTAACAGGCCAGTCTTTCCAGATGTGGTTCTTTCTGAAGAGTGTTAAAAAAATAAAAGTTTGTTTTCCAGAAAGTATTAGGGGTAATAAGATACAGATCTTTGTAGGAGAAAAAAGAAAGCTTATTTCAATAAAATCAGAAAAGTGGGAAAATAAAGCAAGAAAGAGTGGTAAATAAAAAATACATAAGATTGCAGGGACAAATCTAAATAAGAAGAAATCAAGATCAAATGGACCTTATCTGTGGAATGTATTTAGTTTACTACTTTAATAGGCTTAAAGAAAAAGTGTGACTTTGCTGTATTAAATAAAGCATTTAATAAAATTTGATATTTAATGTGCTCATTTTGTTAAAATGCAACCAGTACCCTTATGACATATATGCTTTTCTGTATGTTACATTTGAATACGAACTTTGTGTTGGGTGCACAGTGGCTCATGCGTGTAATCCCAGCCCTTTGGGAGGCTGAGGCAGGAGGATCTCTTGAGCCCAAGAGTTGGAGACCAGCCTGGGCAACACTCTGTCTCTAAAAAAAAAACTGAGAAATTAGCCGGGTATGGCGGCACACACCTGTGGTCCCAGCTACTTGGGAGGCTGAGATGAGAGGATTACTTGAACCTGGGAGGTCAAGGCTACAGTGAGCAGTGATTGCACTGCTACATTCCAGCCTGAGCAACAGAGCAAGACCCTGTCTCAAAAATAAATAAACAAACCCGACATCCATTCCTGGTAAGGGAAAACATTCTTATGCATCCAGGGATAAAAGATTTATGACAGAATACTATAGAAAACCAGTAGTAAATATCATATATGATGTATCATTTATTGATAAGAAACCAATAGCAAACATAATATATAATGGCAAAACCTTACCAGTATCCTCATTAAAGTAAAAAAAACAAGACAAAGATGTCAACTGTCATCTCCACTATTCAACCTTGTTCTGGAGTTTTCAGCCAATACAGTAGAAGACCAGGAAAAAAGAAAAAAGAAAAAGAAAAAAGCACACATATTGGAAAGGAAGAGCTAAAGTTGGCATTAATAACAGATTATCTGATTACCTATAAAATTCAAGATAATTCATGGTAACTAATACTAGAGTTCAGAAAATTGACTGGACAAAAACTTGTAAAAACCACCTTCTTATATATTAACAGCAACCAATTAGAAAATAAAAGAAGTATCTAGTTACAATTGTATGGAAATGTATAAAGTACTTAGAAATAAAAAAACAAGAAAACAATGAAACTATTGATGAAATACAAAAACTAGCTTGGGCGACCAGGTGCCATAGTTCATGCCTGTAATCCCAGCGCTTTGGGAGGCTGAGGTGGGCGGATCACCTTGGGTCAAGAGTTCAAGACCAGCCTGGACAGCATGACGAAACCCAGACTCTACTAAAAATACAAAAATTTTCTGGGCGTCGTGGCGCACGCCTGTAATCCCAGCTACTCAGGAGGCTGAGGCAGGAAAATTGCTCGAACCCAGGAGGCGGAGGTTGCAGTGAGCCAAGATAGCGCCACTACACTCCAGCCTGGGCGACAAGAGTGAGGCTCCGTCTCAAAAAAAAAAAAAAAAAACACCCAGACGCAGTGGTCCCTGCCTGTAGTCCCAGCTACTCTGGAGGCTGAGACTGGAGAATGGCTGGAACCCGAGAGGCGGAGGTTGCGGTGAGGTGAGATCACGCCACTGCACCCCAGCCGGGGGACAGAGCAAGACTCCATCTCCAAAACAGAACAACAACCCCCTCCCCGAAAAAAAAATAGCTGGTTGAATTCGCGTGCGCCTGCAGTCCCAGCTACGCCAGAGGCTGAGGTGGGAGAATCGCCTGAACCCGGAGGCGGAAGTTGCAGTGAGCGGAGATCGCACCACTGTACACCAGCCCGGGCGACAGAGCGAGACTCATCTCAAAAAAAAAAAGAAACTTTATTCACGGACATCAAAAAAGACAAGAATAAATGGCTAGGGATTATGTTCCTTAATGGGTTATCCCAGATAAAATCCTCAAGGGACTTTTTAAAAATTGAATTTTAATTCCCGTAGAACTTCCGGTTTAACAGAAAAATTGCAAAAATGGTGGAAATTCTCCCGTATCCTGGCCGGGCACGGCAGCTCACGCTTGTAATCCCAGCACTTTTGGAGGCCGAGGCGGGTGGATTGTTTAAGCTCAGGAATTACCAGCCTCAAGACCAGCCTGGGCAACGAGGCGAAACGCCATCTCTACCAAAAATACAAAGAAAAAAATAGCTGGGCGTGGTGGTGCGCACCTGTGGTCCCAGCTACTCATCAGGATGCTGAGGTGGAAGGATTGCTTGAGCTCCAGAGGTGGAGGTTGCAGTGAGCTGAAATTGCGCCACTGCACTCCAGCCTGGGCGACAGAGTGAGACCCCATCTCAAAAAAAAGAAAAAAAAAATTTATCCTGTATCTACCCAGATTCCCCAAATGTTATTTTGTCTTTTACTTTATCCTGCTCCCTCACCTCTCTCCCTTCCCCCATTTATACACAATACGTATGTGCATGCATATTTTTCTGTTTCAACCATTTGGAAATTGCAGACATGATGTCTTCCTCTCTCTCTTTTTTTTTTGTTTTTTTGAGACAGGGTCTCGCCCTGTCGCCCAGGCTGAAGTGCAACGGCGCGATCTCAACTCACTGCAGCCTCCGCCTCCCAGGTCCAAGTGATTGTTCTGCCTCAGCCTCCCGAGTAGTTGAGACTGCAGGTGTGCGCCACCACACCCTGTATTTTTTTAGTAGGGTCAGGGTTTCACCATGTTGACCAGGCTGATCTCGAACTCCTAACCTCAAGTGATCTACCCGCCTTGGCCTCCCACAGTGCTGGAATTACAGATGTGAGCCACCGAGCCCAGCAGATGTCTCTTTTTTTTTTTTTAATTTTTTAAAAATTAAATTTTTTTTAGAGGTGAAGTTTTGTTCTATCACCCAGGCTGAAGTGCAGGGGTGCAATCATAGCTTACTGCACTCAAGCGATCCTCCAGCCCACCTTAGCCACCCATGTAGCTGGGACTACAGGAATGCACCACCATGCCCGGCTGATTTTTTTTTGGCGGGGTCAGTAGAGATAGGGTTTCATTATTTTGCCATATCTCTCTATGTCTGTGTACCAAAGTGTTTGCGCCTGAAAAACAGACATTCTCTTCCATAACTGCAGAACCTGTATCAAAATTAGGCATCAACACTGATTATTAACCCTATAAATAATGGGTAAAATTAATACTAGTATATAAGTTACAGACCTTGTTTCAGATTTTGCCATTATTATTTTGCCACTATCCTAATATTGTTCTTTTTGTTTGTTTGTTTGTTTTGAGATGGAGTCTCGCTCTGTCACCCAGGCTGGAGTGCAGTGGTGCAATCCCGGCTCACTGCAACTTCCACCTCTCAGTTTCAAGTAATTCTCATGCCTCAGCCTCCCAAGTAGCTGGGATCACAGGCGCCCACCACCACTCCCGACTAATTTTTGTATTTTTAGCAGAGATAGGGTTTCACCATGTTAGTCAGGCTGGTCTCGAACTCCTGACCTCAGGCAACCTGCCCGCCTCACCTCCCAAAGTGCTGGGACTATAGGCATGAGCCACCGTGCTGGGCCAATAATGTTCTTTAATAGCAGTAAAAAATCCAAGATTGTGTGTTGCATTCTGTTGTCATGTGTCTTTAGCCTCCTTCAGTGTTGAACAGTTTCTCAGCCTTTTTTTTTTTTTTTGACACTGATATTTTTGAACAGTTGCAGGCTAGGTACATTGTAAAATGTCCCTTTGGGTTTCTCCCCGTTTTCTCATAGTTACATTCAGCTTATGTATCTTTGGCAGGACTACCACTGAAATAATATTGTGGTTATCTCATTGCACATGATGTTGATTAATTTGTCCCATTACTGGTGATGTTAATTTTGATCACCTGGATAAGATGCTGTCTGTCCATGGGACTTTTTATAGACTTAACAAACTCATTCTAAAATTAATTGCAAAAGTAAATGGAGAAAAATAGCTGGACGTTTTTGGGAAAAAGTAATACAAAAGGGAATTTGTTCTAAATATTGAAAGATAGTTCAAAGCTATAATAATTAAAACAATGTGGTAATAAGGGCCAGGCATGGTGACTCACACCTGTAATCCCAGCACTTTGGGAGGCCCTGTGGTAGGAGATGCTTATATAACCAACAAGTAATATTGTGGGTTAGTGTGAATGGATTGCTTTGGTCTGAGCAACTTGGGCTCTGGGAGTAGTAAAAAGTTCTACCTGCCGTTTGGGGGATATGGGAGAGCTAACTGGATCAGACTTCCTTGGCTTTCCTTGAGACTTCTAGGTCCAACAGAAGACCTGTCTTTTGTGGTAGAGGTAATTGTGGCCTTTATATTTGGAAAGAAGTAACCAGTTACATTGATTTGTCATTTAGGCTGTTTGATATTTATAACTAATGAATACTTTTAACAATAAGTTTTTTTTTTTTTTTAAATGGCCTCACCACAAATGTTCATTAGCACATCTGGAGGTGGCTACATCTTGTAAGTAATAGACTTATTAAGCAATAAATGTTATGTACTACTTTATTTACAAGCTTTTGCATTTAAGCTTCTGTGATGTTCTTTTTTATATTTACATATTGTTTATATATATTTACATTCATATATTCTTAAAGGCAAGAAATTTTGTGTCCAAGGGCATTAGACCTGAATATTGGGATTTTCCTAATTCTACTCTAGAACCTGTCGATTTAGTATATGATAAAGATGGCATTTCAAATAAGTATAGGGGGGTGGCTTTCTTTAAGTCATTTGGGAACAGTAGCCTGTTCATTTTGGGAGGAAAAATTAGAGCCCTACCTTATACAACACACAAAAATATTAATTCTGATGTATTCAAATTCTGAATATAAAAAATCAAAACCTGAAATTATTCAAAATAAATGAGAATATCTTAATCATTTTATAATGATGCAGAGATGAATGAAATACAGAACAAGGGAGCTGTAAAAGACAAGATAGAGAGACTCAAAACCTCTGTATGTTAATAGATGCCATAAACAAAAGACAAGGAGCAAGCTGGAAGAAATAAATATAAATAAAGAATTTGGAGTCGGGCAAGGTGGCTTATGCCTGTGATCCCAGCACTTTGGACGGCTGGGGCAGGAGGATCATTTGAGCTTAGATTAGATGTTCAAGACCAGCCTGGGCAACATAATGATACCTCATCTCTACAAAAAAAATTTTAAAAGTAGCTAGTTGTTGTGGCTCATGCCTATAGTCCCAGCTGCTTTAGATGCTGAGGTGGGAGGATCACTTGAGGAAGAGAGGTTGAAGCTGCAGTGCGCTGTGATTATGCCACTACAGGGTCTCACTCAGCCTGAGTGACAGAGTAAGACCCTGTCTCAAAGGAAAAAGAAAAAAAACTTCCACAATGGTGAGAAGACACATCTAATAGATCTAAAAAGTAGGCAAAGGAGATGATCGGGGAGTTCCAAAAAGAAGAAATACAAATGGGCCAATAAACATGTGAACTAGTAAAATAAGGGAAATGCAAATTAACCTGACACCAGTTTGTACCCATCAGATTGGCACAAATTTGAGAAGGTTAAAGAGCATGAAGAAGTAGGCACTCGCATAACATTGCTGGGAGTAGAAATTGGTCCATTCTATTTGCAGAGCAGTGTGGCTCTGTAACAGTATTATATCTATACACATTTTTTTGTTTTGTATTTTTTATTTTTTCTATAAAAATTTTAAATGCATATTCCTTTGACCTAGAAATTCTACTTCCAGTAATTCTCAAACATTTGCATACAAATATATGTAGAGGAAGCTTTGTTACAATATTATTTGTTATAGTGGAAACATTGGAAACAACCTTCTGTCGCATTATCTCAGACAGCTAGCTTCTTTCTGCCTTTGGACTAGAAACTAAAACCTGTTTCCCTGGTTACTATAAGTTCCTGCTTTCTCCCTGGGGTAAAGAGCAACTCCTTGTGACATGGAAGAGAGGATGGGTCAGACTTCACAGGGACATAATCCTTTAGCTTCATGTTCCCTTCTGGATATTAAATGTTTACCTGTGAATACAGGCTCTGTTTTAATTTTTTGCTTTTACATTTTCCACTGGGAGCTCCTGAATCAGGTAAACCAATTCTATGGTAGATTTTATTAGCAGCAAGTAATTTTTAGGAAAATGGGATTTGCACATGGAGAATTTGGGGGAGGATTTAGAGAGCTGCTTTAGAGCCTGAAACACAGTTTCAGTTTTGTCAAGGTTGAGGAGCCTGTGCTATATTTCGCCTAATAAAAATTAATGCTTAGTCTCCATGGCATTAACCCAGACAAATTCCCATGGTTTATCTAAAATGAAATGACTTTTAGTCACTCCTGGGCTATAAATATGAGAAAGAAATCTGTAGTTACTGGCGAGAGAGAAAGAGGAGTTGCCTTTTTACTCTCAGCTATGAGATTCCTTGACAAGATGTTTAATATTTATCAAATATTGATTAGATGCTCTTTACCCAAAAATGTGATTTACAGAGATCGTGAAATTATTAACAGAAGCCAACAGTTGGGCTGGATCAGCACTGTGTCAGAAATAGGTGAACCACAAAATTAAAATTCTTCCAGTATCCACATTTAAAAAAGTAAAACAGACAGGTAACATTAATTTTAATATTTTTATTTAACCCACTATATTAAAAATACCATTTCAACATGTAATCAATATAAAAACTAATAATTTTACATTCATTTTTGGGTACTAAGTCTTTGAAATCCAGTGAGTATTTTCCATGTGAAGCACAGCTCAGTTTGGACCACCCACATTTCAAGTGCTCGGGAGCCATGTGTTATGGCTCATGGCTACTGACTTGGGCTGTGCAGGCTGGACTGTAAGCTCCCGAGGACAGAGGTAGTCATTGCCTTATCATTGTACCCCAGCACCTAGCACAGTACGTGGTACTTACTACATAGCCAGTGTCCAATAATAACTTTTTTTTTTTTTTTTTTTGAGATGGAGTCTCACTCTGTCGCCCAGGCTGGAGTGCAGTGGTGCAGTCTTGGCTCACTGCACGCTCTGCCTCCCAGGTTCACGCCATTCTCCTGCCTCAGCCTCCCGAGTAACTGGGACTACAGGTGCCCGCCACCACGCCTGGCTAATTTTTTGTATTTTTAGCAGAGACGGGGTTTCATCGTGTTAGGATGGTCTCGATCTCCTGACCTCATGATCCACCTGCCTCGGCCTCCCACAGTGCTGGGATTACAGGCGTGAGCCAATGGGCCCGGCCCGAAACCATCTTTTCACAGACCCCTCAACTGTGTAATCCATGTGAATTATATTTGTCACGGAAATAGTTGGCAGTAAACTTGTAACATTACCTTCCCTGCTGTACAGCCATTTAGAGAAAAATGTAGAATAGACTGCATTTCTTTTCATATTTGCCCAAAAGCAGCTTTAAAAATTATCTGTTGGCTTCAGGTAATACAACAAATGACAGAGATTTTTTAGAGTTGCTGTCTGCTGACCATAGCAACTCTGTTAGATTTCTTCTTTAAATTTGTCTTGCTAATTCTTAGAAAGAAGCATTTGTGTCTTGAGAAGAAGATTGCGTAATCCAACACCCATTCCCTAAACCGTGTATCTCTTAGGCATAAATAATATCAAAGTCCACTGAGAGTTAGACACTGTTTTAATCATCCCTGTCACTGTTTACTTTGGCCTGATGTTGAAGTCAATCAAACTTTTAGTACCTGTTACAGATCTCCAACTGTTTAGGTGTTGTGGGTGATACAGGATAATTATTATACATGATCTTTGCCCTGGAGGAGCTTATAATCTATTTGGAAAAGAAAAACAAACTGACAAAATGCATAGAGAAAAATAAATGCCAAATAAGTTGATTTCCCGTTTATCTAGTGTTTGCTGTGTGCCCGAGGCTTGGTTATACAAAGGTGAATACAAATGTATTCCTTTTCCCTCAAATAGCTCACAGCCTCCTAGAAAGTTACATGTGTAAGCCAATAAACGTTTCAACATGACAAATCTAACAAATCTTTGAAGTGCAGTAATAATATCCCAATATGCAAATGAGGAAGCTGAGACTAAGTGAAGGTCAGTGACTTGCTCAAAGTAGCAATTAGAAAGAATCTGGATTCAAACTTAGACATTTATAGGAGCTCTTATTTTTTCTTCCACACCACACTTTCTGTTTCAAGAGTCCTAAAAAGAGAAATTGAGTTCGTCATTTAAGGCAAATCATAGCTCAGTAAATTTGCCAACTGATTATAGTTTGTCTGATATTCATGTATTTACATAGTTAAGGTGTGATCTTATTGTATATGTATACACTAATATATGAGTAGTATGGTACTGAACTGGAAGGGTCCTAGGGTTTTATTGATGAGAAGGGTGGTGTGCACTAGACTTAGGTATTTCCACAAGTGGGGATTCATGGGTAGGTAGGTAGACTAGGCCAAGGTATAGGGGAGGAACTCTGGGCTTTCCAGGCAGAAAGAAGTGTGAGAAGTTGACAGTAGGACAAGGTTAGTAGGAGAAAAGCTCTAACATGTTGGGCAGGGGACTTGGTACTTGAGTGGTGAGGAACCATCAAAGACTTTCAAACACGACTAACAGGTTGGACGTCAGTGACTCAGTGATTCACTGTTTTTTAGTTGCTCTCAATCTGTGCACAATTTCAGCTCTTGTTTAAAAATATAACCTTAGAAAGTGAGATTTTGATTTTAAAAAGCAAATATAGAAGGCCTATGTTAGGTTGGTAATAAATGTTTGTATAACATGTTTATTAGGTGTCTAGTGTTGTCCTAAATATTAACTTTATACTAGTATCTATTACCAACATATAAAAGTACATTCATCTTTAGGGTCACAACTATAGTAGCTTCTTATTCCATCCACTATGTATTTAAGCATCTTTGTTTCTAAAGTTAGGCAAGGGTTTGTGTAGATTGGTACAAACATTTTAAGGATAACAGAAATTATAATAAACTTTTTTTGTTTTTGTTTTTTTTTAACTCTAAAATAACCTTGAAGTAATTTTTAGTAAACTAGTTGAGGCTGGACGTGGTAGCTTACGCCTGTAATCCCAGCACTTTGGGAGGCCAAGGCAGGCGGATCACCTGATGTCAGGAGTTCGAGACCAGCCTGGCCAACATAGTGAAACCCCGTCTCTACTGAAAACACAAAAATTAGCCAGGCATGGTGGCGGACACCTGTAATCCCAGCTACTTGGGAGGCTGAGGCAGGACAATCACTTAAACCTGGGAGGCAGAGGTTGCAGTGAACTGAGATCGCGCCACTGCACTCCAGCCTGGGTGACAGTGAGAGTTGGTCTTAAAAAAAAAAAAAAAAAAAAGTTGATATAATTTAGACTTCAGGACACTTTCAAATATAAATTGTAGAAACAGCTTTTCTTAGTAAAGCTCTTAATAGGATGAAAGATGCTCTCTAAGATAAATGTAAGGAGATTCTTTGTTAACCACCATAAATCCAGGATGTTAAAGTCAAAATTTTACTGTAACTCCTTAACAGCCAGTTTTCATTTTAAGTGTATAATTATATCTTGTGGAAAAATCATAGATTTTATGTGTGTGTATTTTTATTTATACATGACTCATTCACATTCGTGATTATATTTATTTAGTTCTCTAATGTTCACAGTTTAATTTAGTTGGCCTGTGTTTTTTTCTCCTCTGAGGAAATTAGAAAATTTGTCCTGCTAGCTTTTGGATTATTAAACCCTTCCTCCTTCTTTTCTTGAAAATTTCAAGTTATCAGCCATTTTCTTGAATTTATCATGCTTTTTACAGTTATCAAAATCTGAAGGTAGTCATAAAAAATAGAAGTAGAGACTAGCTCCTTAAAATGTTAAGTAGTATGTGTGAATAAGAAGTGTTATTAAGAGGTATATCCATGTTATAAATCTAAACAAATAAGAAGTATATCCATGTGATAAATCTTTCCTGATCCCCTTTTAAGGCTAAAATGATTGTTACCTAATTTTGTTTGTGCTTTTAAACTGGTAGGACACCTGTGGAAAACTGTCCTCTTCTCTCCTAGGCCACAGACCTCCACCAGCACGAAGTGGACATCGTTGCGTGGCAGATAATACCAACCTATATGTGTTTGGAGGTTATAACCCAGATTATGATGAATCGGGAGGGCCTGATAATGAAGACTATCCTCTCTTCAGGGAACTCTGGAGGTATCATTTTGCTACAGGAGTATGGCACCAGATGGGCACAGATGGCTACATGCCCCGGGAATTGGCATCTATGTCACGTGAGTGCAAGCAGTTCGTAACTCCTGACTTTATGAAATGTCTGAGAAGCCAGGTTCAATGTCGCATATTCCTTGTTAATAATTTATAACACCGTATTGTGATTTTGCCCTGTTGGTGGATAGGCTTTTTACTGGGGTAATAACATAACATGGTGATTCTAAATTATTTGGGTCCTGAGTTTGAATTCAGCTTGTCGGGTGAGTTTTAGCTTTAATTTCCTAACTTGTAAAATGGGATTAATAATATCCTAGAGGGTTCAATATAAAGTATCACGTATATGTTAGGCAAAATGTAGTAGAAGGTCAACAAATGGGGCTTAGGACAATGACAGTTAATAGCTATTGAGCAAAGTACAGGCATACCACGATACAGAGATATCGTGGTTTAGTGCCAAACCACCACAATAAAGTGAGTCACACAACGTTTTTGGTTTCGTAGTGCATATAAAGTTATGTTAACGCGATGCACTAGTCTCTTTAGTGTGCAATAGCATTATATCTAAAAAAGTATATACCTTAATTAAAAATACTTTATTGCTAAAAAGTGCTAACAACCAACTGAGTCTTCGGCAAGTTGTAATCTTTTTGCTGGTGGAGGGTTTTGTCTCGATGTCGGAGGCAGCTGACTTATCAGGGTGGTCGTTGCTAAAGGCTGGGGTGACTGTGGCAGTTTCTTAAGACGACATAGAAGTTTGCTGCATCAATTGGCTCTTCCTTTCACAAAAGATTTCTCTGTAGCATGTAATGCTGTTTGATAGCATTTTACCCAGAGTAGAACTTCTTTCAAAATTGGAGTCAAATCCTCTCAAGCCCTGCTACTGCTTAATCGACTAAGTTTATGTGATATTCTAAATCCTTATTTGTCATTTCAGCAGTGTTCCCAGCATCTTCATTAGGAGTAGATTCTATCTCAGGAAACCACTTTCACTGAGCACAGTGACTCATGCCTGTAATCCCAGCACTTTGGGAGGCTGAGGCAGGAGGATCACTGGAGCCCAGGAGTTGAAGACCAGCTTGGGCAACATAGTGAGACCTTTTCTCTACAAAAAATACAAAAATTAACCAGGCGTGGTGCTGCACGACTATATTCCCAGCTACTTGGGAGGCTGAGGTGGGAGGATGGCTGGAGCCCAGGAGGTTGGGCTGCAGAAGCTGTGCTCATGCCACTGCATTCCAGCCTGAGTAACAGAGTAAGACCCTGTCTCAAAAAAAAAAAAAAAAAAAAAGAAAAGAAAAAGAGGCCGGGCATGGTGGCTCACACCTGTAATCCCAGCACTTTGGGAGGTTGAGGTGGGTGGATCACAAAGTCAGGAGTTTGAGACCCAGCCTGGCCAACATGGTGAAACCCTGTCTCTATAAAAAATATTCAAAAAAAAAAAAATTAGCTGGGCATGGTGGCAGGCGCCAGTAATCCCAGCTACTCGGGAGGCTGAGGCAGGAGAATCGCTTGAACCCGGGAAGGTGGGGGTTGCAATAAGCCAAGATCGCCCCACTGCACTCCAGCCTGGGCAGTAAGAGTGAGACTCCGTTTCAAAAAAATGAGAAAAAAAAATTAAAAATCTGTTGTTTAGTGTAGCCACTTAGCTGGATCTTTTGCATAACTTGCTGCAGCTTCTACATCAGCACTTGCTGCTTCACTTTGTACTTTTATGTATTGGAGATGGCTTCTTTCCTTAAACTTCTTGAACCAACCTCTGCTAGCTTCCAACATTTCTTCTGCAGCTTCCTTACCTCTCCCCACCTTCATAGAGTCGAAGAGAGTCAGGGCCTTCCTCTGAATTAGGCTTTGCCTGAAGGGAATGTTGTAGTTGATCGTCTGTCCACTTAAACTTTCTGCACTATCAGCAATAAGGCTGTTTTGCTTCCTTATCATTCGTGTGTTCACTGGAGTAGCACTTTTAATTTCCATCAAGAGCTTTTCTTTGCATTCACAACTTGGCACTAACTGTTGGGTGCAAGAGGCCTAGCTTTCAGCCTCTTTGCTTTCCACATGCCTTCCTCACTAAGCTTAGTCAATTCTAGCTTTTGATTTAAAGTTAGATACGGTAGACTCTTCTTTTCACTTTATTACTCAGAGGTAAGGTTATTCACTGGCCTAATTTCAATCTTGTTGTGTCTCAGGGAATAGGGAGGCCTGAGGAGAGGGGAAAAAGATGAGAGAATGGCTGATTGGTGCAGTCAAAACTCTCACAGCATTTACTGATTAAGTTCACTGTCTTATACGGGCGTGGTTCATGGCGCCTCAAAACAGTTACAATAGTAACATCAAAGATCACTGATAAGTGCTGGCGTGGTGGCTCAGGCCTGTAATCCAGCAATTTAGGAGGCCAAGGCGGGAGGACCACTTGAGGCCAAGGAGTTCAAGACCAGCGTGGGCAATGTAGCAAGACCCTGCCTCTTAAAAAAAAAAAAAAATTAGCTGGGCATAGTGGCCTGTACATAGAGTCCCAGCTACCTGGACATCTGAGGTGGGAGGATCGCTTAAGCCCAGGAATTCAAGGCTGCAGTGAGCCATGTTCATGCCACTGCACTCCAGCTAGGCAACACAGCAAGACTCTGACTCAAACAAATAATAAATAAAGGCTAGGTGTGGTGCCTCACCCCTATAATCCCAGCACTTTGGGAGGCCGATGTGGGTGGATTGCTCGAGCCCAGGAGTTCAAGACTAGTCTGGCCAACAATAGCAAAACCCCATCTCTACAAAAAAATACAAAAGTTAGCCAGGCGTGGTGGCACAAACCTGTAGTCCCAGCTACTTGGGAAACTGAGGCAGGAGGATCACTTGAGTCCCGGAGGTCAAGGCTGCAGTAAGCTGTGATCGTGTCACTCCACTCCAGCCTGGGTGACAAAGCGAGACCCTGCCTCTTCAAAACAAGTACAAAAAAAAAAAAAAAAAGCTGGCCGGGCATGGTGGCTCACACCTGTAATCCCAGCACTTTGGGAGGCCAAGGCAGGTGGATCACCTGAGGTCAGGAGTTTGAGACCAGCCTGGTCAATGTGACAAAACCCCATCCCTACTAAAAAAACAAAAATTACTGGGCTTGGTGGTAGGCACCTGTAATCCCAGCTACTAGGGAGGCTGTAGGCAGGAGAATCGCTTGAACCTGGGAGGTGGAGGTTGCAGTGAGCTGAGATCATGCCACTATACTCCAGCCCGGGCGACAGATCAAGACTCCGTAAAAAAAAAAAAAAAAAAAGCCACTGAAATAACATAGGAGCACTGTTTCGAGAGAGAGAGAGAAAGAGAGAGAGCGTATGTATGAGTGAAGAGAATACGTGTGTACGTGTGTGTGTGTATGTATGTGTGTGGTGGCAGGAACAAAAGAGCTACAGGAGGAAGAACACCAAAGTTGCCTGCTGGATATTGGTGTGTTTTGTTTTATCTGGTAGAGCATTAAAATGACAGAAATCTTAATTTTAAATGTAGAGATCATTTTCCTGGCAAAAACAGAATGTCCCTTTAATCCCTTTATTTGGAGTCCCCTTGGGTCTTTGCTAAGGCAAAGATGATGCTTCATTTTTCTCTACTTTGCTGCATACTTGAACTGTCTTGAGCAGCAGTGGTATACTGGGTAGACTGTAGTCCATACAACTCAATATTGTTATACAGAGTATTTAGTGAATTCCATAAATATGTATTGAATATGTCATATATGCCTACCAATGAACTATATGATAGAGCCCATATAGTGATATTCGATCTTTTTCTGCAGAACTTTGTAGTATAGGCCATGTACCCCTTATCTGAAATGCTTGGGACCAGAAGTGTTTTACATTCCAGATTTTTTTTTTGAATATTTGCATTGTACTTAGCATCCCAAATCCAGAACTTTGAAATCCAACATGTTCCAGTGAGCATTTCCTTTAAGCATCATTGTTGGTGCGCAAAAAGTTTCGGATTTTGAAGTATTTTAGATTTCAGATTTTCAGATTTGGTACGCTCAGTTACTAGTTAGATGTCAGTGATTTGAGCTATCTTATGAGATCATTAAAGCAGATATGTGTTAGCTTCTCAGATATTCTGGGTTTATGTGGGAACACATTGCAGGTAGCCATTTGTGAATGGAACTTGTGCTTCTCCTTCCTCAGTTGTGCTGCATGGAAACAACCTGTTAGTGTTTGGAGGTACGGGCATCCCATTTGGAGAGAGCAACGGCAATGACGTCCATGTGTGTAATGTGAAGTATAAGAGATGGGCTTTGCTCAGCTGCCGGGGGAAGAAACCCAGTCGTATATATGGACAGGTACCAATCTGTGGCCAGTCATGGTGTATTTGTTCATATTTTTCTAGTCTGGGGACGGTGTTAGAATATTTGTAATTGTTACCATTTTATTTTAATGGAGAAGAGTTATTTGTGGTTAGTACTTGATTTTTTAGTTCTCATATGAAATTATAATTTGTAAATCTGGTTACTTGCCATGTTCTGTTCTTTTCTTTCCTTTCCTTTTTTTTTTTTTCACTTTCTGTTTCTAATTCAACTTAGGGTCAGGATATAGACCTGTGTGGAAGTTCCTTTAAGTGTTAGAACCCCACCTCCACCTCCACCCTCACCCCCAGTGAGAGATTGGGCTCCACTATGGCCTGGGTCCTGGTCATTTTTAGAGTGATTCTTGAGTAGATGAGAAAGCACTTGGTGAAGAAACTTTTACATGGATCTGAGCTAAAACATACATACATTTTGTAGAGATTAGGTTCCAGCACTTCAAACCTTAGGTCTGAAAAGTTATATCCAGAAAGATAGGGAGCAACCCACCATACATCAGAGACTCTTTGAGAGTCTAAGCTTAAAACAACCAAGCTTTGACTTCTTTCTTGACTTGCCAGCATTAGTACTGATAAACAGCTTCTGAGCTTAACTTCAAAGGAGCACATACTAGACAACTTCGTTGCTTCCACAGGAGGCATTTAAACTATAAGAAGTGGCCATAACAATGGCTGAAACTTTCATTGAAAAGAGTCCTTTGGAAAACGTCAGGTTCCTTGAACTGCTAACTAGGGTTTCTACTTAGGAGATTGCAGTGGCTTATTTTCATATCTGCTGCTTCTTGAGAGCATTTTACTTCAGACTGCTTATAGGGAGAAGCAGCTTTCAACGGAAATGCTTATATGTGCCCATAAGCATTTCTAGCATGGGCTAGAAATTATTTGGTCGGCCAGGGCCCTTAAGAATCATCTTGGCAGGTAGGACTTGCTTTCCAGTTGAGTAAAGCTTTCCTTTCCAAAGGTGTTTTCCAGGTTCTTAAAATAATCTCTGGGTTCTCTAAAATCTTCTTTTAAGAGTCTGATACATTAAAAGATTAAAAAGTACAAGAGAATTTCATAAAACCTGATTTGGAGGTGTCTGGTAAGTTTACATTCTTTAATCAAGTGTTAACAAGTCGGTCTTATTCACCTTTCATTGTTATCCAGGCTATGGCCATCATCAATGGCTCCCTTTATGTCTTTGGAGGGACAACCGGCTATATTTACAGCACAGACCTGCACAAGTTAGATCTCAATACCAGAGAGTGGACACAACTGAAACCAAACAACCTATCCTGTGATCTACCAGAAGAGAGGTGAGGTTCTAGGATTCAAGCATATTTATTCTTTCGTGTTAACATTTGACCTCTTTCAGAGTATTGGCAATATGAAGAAAACCCTTTGGCTCCAGTTAGAGTAACTAACTGGCTGTTGGATGTTAGATCTCAGGTAAGTAGTAAAGAAAGGTCTATAGTGAAAAAAAGTTCTTCTGGTGAGGAAATAGTATTTCCTTCTAAACTACAGAATTTTTTCCATGTCATTTCCTCTTATATTTAGTCTTTCTGCATTAGGAAGATAGTAGTAACACTTTGAAGAAGAAACCAGTGGTAGCAACTATAACCAAATTTCATATTATAGGCAAAACAATTACTGTCCAGTTACTTTTTGATTTCCCTTTTTTTTTGAGAAAGGGTCTCACTCTGTCACCTAGGCTGGAGCACAGTGACATAATCATGGCTCACTGCAACCTTGACCTCCTGGGCTCAAGGCATTCTCCCATCTCAGCCCTCCGCCCAAGTAGCTGGGACTACAGGCATGTGCCACCACATCTGGCTAATTTTTTGTACAGATGAGGTCTCACCATGTTGCCCAGGCTGCTTCTCAAACTCCTAGGCTCAAGCAGTCTACCTGTCCTTGGCCTCCCAGAGTGTTGGGATTACAGGTGTGAGCCACCATGCCACGCCTGATTTCCCTTCTTATATTGCATATTAGAATTCTTTGCCTCATTCTCTCACAGACATATCATCAGTACAGGGCACAGGGCCATCCCCACAGTGAATGTGAATGTTGATTGGATAGATGGAAGGAAGCTTGCATGGGTGGATGGGTGATGAATGATGGATGGATGGATGGAAGGGTCATTCATTTTAAGTGCCGTGTTAAACATCACATGGTTCTCTCTAGTTGCCTTCTAGTAGCAGATCTATATCTTTCACTTTTCTTTGCTAATAGCAGTTGCCTCTTCATAGAATTAAACTCACTGTGGCTGGGCGCGGCCTGTAATCCCTCCACTTTGGGAGGCTGAGGTGGGTGGATCATGAGGTCAGGAGTTCGAGACCAGCCTGGCCAACATGGTGAAACCCCGTCTCTACTAAAAATACAAAAATTAGCAGGGCATGGTGGTGGGCATCTGTAATCCCAACTACTCAGGAGGCTGAGGCAGGAGAATCGCTTGAACCTGGAGGCAGAGGTTGCAGTGAGCTGAGATCGCACCACTGCACTCTAGCCTGGGCGACAGAGCAAGACTCTGTCTTGAAAAAAAAAAAGAACAGAAAAAAGAATTAAACTCACTGAAACACTTGAAGAGATTTTTTCCCCCTCCAGTTTGAAAGCAAAGACAGTAAAACATTTTTTATTAACTCTGTTTAGATGAATCCAGTGTCTCTTTGTTGCCTTTTTAAACAAAATAGCATATAGGTGCTAAGGAAGAATTTATCTTAATTGTAGCCTGTTAGTGGGCTGATCATTGTAAAACTTAACATAAGAGGACTTGGGAGTTGGCCTCTTACTGGAATGATTTTGATGTAGCTTATTTTATCAGCAACAAGGCCTTCAGGTAAAGAAGGAAATAGATTAAGTTTTCAAAGCATTTTCACATGGTTGCTTTCTTTGAGTCATTTTATGGACATATTAGAAATTACTTTAGCTTTTAGCTAGACTGCCTGGATGAAAGTTCTGAGGTGTTTTATATTATATCCACAGTTCTATGTAGCATAATTTTCTGCTAAATAAGTATCTTAATTTGCAAACTCATAGTCTAAGGTCTCTAAATGTAGGCAGATCACTTTTTAAAACTATGTAATATTTTCCCCTTTACACAAAGTTATCACAAAAGGTTATAGAAAAATCTACAAAATACAAATTAGCAAAATGAAGAAAATAAAAATCTAAGTCTAAACTCAAAGATAACCAGGTTTAATGTTTTGGATTATATCCTAATAGCCATTTTCTGTATATATTTATGTATCTATAAATTTTTAATGCAATTTATTTAAAAAAATGACACAAAAAAGTTCTCAATGCATTAACCACCATCTGGTACCTACTCTGTTATTGGTTGCATACTAATCCATTTTATGTATATTCGGTTAGTCATATAACCAATTCACTATTGTTAAACACTTAGGTTATTTCCAATAATTTATTATTATAAATAATGATGTAATAAAAATCCTTATAGCTAAATCTTAGGTAGATCATTTTTCACTTAATTATAAATGAATTTTTTTGTAAATTTTCAGATACCGACATGAAATCGCACATGACGGGCAGAGGATTTACATCTTGGGAGGTGGTACGTCCTGGACAGCATATTCCTTAAACAAGGTATATTTTTTAAAAAAGAAAAAAAGGGAGAGGGAGAACGATAGAAAGAGGCATGTGTCAACTAAGCAAGATAATTCTGTTATTTTAGATATTTTAATTTTTGAGCACATTCCTCATTAACGCCTATTTTGTGTTGGATGCACTTTATATTATAAGGTTGAACCCTGTGCCCTAAAATGCTTTCAGTTGACAGGTGTTATTTATCACACACTGAAAATACTTTGTGAAAATTATCCCCTTATGCTGGATGAGGAAAGTGACTAAAAGGAAGCATAGTAGCTTGAATGGAGCAACTAATTAGAATTGGAAGCAGCATTCTCAGAATGTCACATCCGCATCATCATCACTGCTGTGTATCTAAAAAGAACAGGCTTGTTTAGGGTTGCACGTCACGAACTTGAGAAAGCTGAGCTCTGAAGGGCTGTTATTCATCCATCCCTGTGGCATTTCTAAAATGTCATAGTCACACATCCCAGGGGAAACCTACATTAGGCTGTAGAGCTCCTGGACTGCTTGGAACCTTAATGGTCTTTTTCAACTTTTGTCAAAACTGAATTCCCACATTCCCTTACAAACACTTGCTTTTTTCTGTTATAAAAATGATACATGCCCCTTGTAGAAAATGTGGAAGTTGCAGAACAACATACAGAAGAAAATCAAGAATCACATGCACTGCAGCTTCTCATTCCAACCTTTTTCTTCATTTTTTCTGTGAATTTAAAAAAGTGAGCTGGGTGTGGTGGCTTATGTCTGTAATCCCAGCACTTTGGGAGGCTGAGGTGGGCGGATCACCTGAGGTCAGAAGTTTGAGACCAGCCTGGCCAACATCATGAAACCCCATCTCTGCTAAAAGTACAAACATTAGCTGGGCATGGTGGCAGGCACCTGTAATCCCAGCTACTCGGGAGGCTGAGGCAGGAGAGTCACTTGAACCTAGGAGGCGGAGGTTGCAGTGAGCCGAGATCGTGCCATTGCACTCCAGCCTGGGTGACAGAGACTCCATCTCAAAAAAAATAAAAAATAAAATAAAAAGCGAAATCATATATGTGTTTAATTTTCAACTGCCCCATTTAATGTTTTCCCATATATTTGGAAAGATCAGAAAAAAGCAAAAGAAAAGAAGAAAGACTTTTCAACTAAGAATATATGTTTATGCAGGCTACTGCTGTTAAAAGTCCAGTTTTCTATATGGAAAATCACTGTACCTTCTGCTCAGTTTTGCTGTGAACCTAAAACTGCTTTAAAAAACAAAGTCTGTTTTTAAAAAACCCATTTTCAGGCTAGCTAAAATTACAGTTATTTATGTATGTGTATATGTTCTTTTTTTTCTCTAAGATCCATGCCTACAACCTTGAAACGAATGCATGGGAGGAAATTGCAACAAAACCCCATGAAAAAATAGGTAAATTTAAAGTATTGATTAATTTATCTTTAACAAACATATATTATACTTTTACTTATTTTGGAAGGAAAAAGTAATTTTACTGAGTTATATGGTAAGTTAAATATCTGTTGGGCCGGGTGCAGTGGCTCACGCCTTTAATCTCGGCACTTTGGGAGGCCAAGGTGGGCAGATCTCTTGAGCCCAGGAGTTTGAGACCAGCCTGAGCAACATGGTGAGACCCTGTCTCTACAAAATATACAAAAACATTTGCTGGTCATGGTGGTGTACACCTATAGTCCCAGGTAGTTGGGAGACTGAGGTGGGAGAATCACCTGAGCTTGGGAAATAGAGGCTGTAGTGAGCCATGATTGAGCCACTACATTCCGGCCTGGGCATCAGAGTGAGACCCTATCTCAAAAAAAAAAGAAAGAAAAATCTGTTGAACTGGTATTAGAAAATACTTGTATTCCTTAGTCCAATTATAATTATTCCTTAGGGCTGGGCGTGGTGGCTCACGCCTATAATCCCAGCACTTTGGGAGGCCGAGGTGGGCGGATCATGAGGTCAGGAATTCGAGACCAGCCTGGCCAACATGGTGAAACCCCATCTCTACTAAAAATGTAAACATTAGCTGGGCGTGGTGGCATACGCCTGTAATCCCAGCTACTTGGGAGGCAGAGGTAGGAGAATTGTTTGGACCCCAGAGGCAGAGATTGCAGTGAGCCAAGATCACGCCACTGCACTCCAGCCTGGGAGACAGAGTCTTGCTGTCAAACAAAACAAAACAAAAAACAAAAACCACACACACACAAGTAATTATCCTTAGTGATTGAGGAAAGAGACTTTTAATCCTCTTTATTAAGTTATTCGGCAGAAGCTGAGAAATATGGGTGATATAAGAAATTGGAGCCTAAATAAAGATCTACCAGCTGGGTGTGGTGACTCATGCCTATAATCCCAGCACTTTGAGAGGCTGAGCCCAGGAGTTCGAGACCAGCCTGGGCAACATGGTGAAACCCTGTCTCCACTAAAAATACAAAAAATTATCTGGGTGTGGTGGTGTGCACCTGTAGTCCCAGCTACTGAGGAGGCTGAAGTGGGAGGATCACTTGAGCCAAGGAGGTGGAGGCTGCAGTGAGCCAAGATAGCACTGCTGCATTCCAACCTGGGCAACAGAGTGAGACCCTGTCTCTAAATTAAATAAATAATAAAGATCTACATATCTCTGTGTGGGTAAAAGGGCTTGGGAAAGCCACTAGCAACTCCTGTCCTTTCCCTTTGTTTCTGGCACCTTAGCATTGTACTGTTATGATGAGACTCCTGATGGCTTTTGAAATACGGAGGGAGTGGAAGGGCTAGTCAGTGTTTGCTTAACATGCAACAAAGGGATTGTTTTGAGTTACACATAGTATGTCTTTCACTGTGTTGTATCAGTGTGATTCCCAGTCTTTCTGTAAGTGATGGAACTTCTGTGTTTGTGTGTTTGGCAGGCTTTCCTGCAGCCCGAAGGTGTCACAGTTGTGTTCAAATAAAAAATGGTAAGGATTCTAAATAACATTTTGCTTCCATTTCTGTAATTGTATCTTCTGAAAATGTCTTATTTCCTAAAGATAGCCCCCTCAAAAGAGGCTCATAACTTTGAGAAAAGTCTATTTCTGGTAGTTTAAACTTAAAGGGAAATTCATAGTGATGCCTCTCTCAGCCATTTTCATCATGTAAACTAGTATGGTGTTTGGGTTCCCTCAGTTATTAGAGAACTCAGAAAATGGTGATAAATAAGCTTTTATTTTAGCACTTGATCTTCCAGCATCCCACACCTCAACAGATGTCTGTGGTTACGGTGACTAATACTAATAATTTTGACTGTTTATACTGTAGAGACCTCAGCGAACATTGTATTAAAATTGTAATAACTCCTTCAGAGTGATATTTCATAAAGTTGATTCTGTTCTCTCTCTGATGCCAAATGGAACTCTTAGCTCATTCTTTGGCCATATTACAACAAAGGCGTTGTATGGCTTCAGAAAGCAGCTGCAGCTACTTTAACTAAATGTGATAAGTGACTCCTCTCTGGATAACCTTCCTGTCTTTTAATTTACAACTTATTTCATCGTTTGTTGAAATTTCTTCTTAAATTTTTTCTGGGAGGAAAGTATGTATAAATGAGTTAGATAGCCTGTATGCTTTTAGCAACTTAGTTCAGATATAACTGGGATTATTCTGCCATCTCTAGTTCAGAGGGATTTTTTATTGTGCTCCTGCTTTCTGGATAAAATTTATAGATAATGACATTGCTCACATTTCTCTCTCTGAGAATGGAACTGTACCTTAGGTTTTCCTTGAATCCTAGCCAAAAAAGTTTCCAGTGCATTTTATAGTTTAAGTATTGTCTTAAACTTGGTCTAGACCTGAGTTAAGAAATTTATTCATTTAATTCTTTGAGGTCAAGCACCATACAAATAGAATTCAACCTTAGTTCTAGGCATTTCATTTGAAGGTTCACATAGCCTTTGTTACAAGTTGTCTAATTAGTTATAACTAACTGATTTTACCAGAAAACCCACACCTCTCATTTTGGGAAAATTATTCCTAATAACTGTACAGATCAAACAGAGCTTCAGTTTGTCCTCTTTTAGCTGAAGAAAGCTTGGAAGAGCCTCTCTTGTGTTCCTAAACTGAACACTGCAGTGAACGTTCCTCCTCAGAGACTTTAGACTCTATGAACAGATAAATGTATGGTCTTTCCAGGACATTATTTAAAGAAGAGTTTGCAAACTGGTGGCCTGCACATGTGTTTTGTTTGGCTCATATATGTATTAAAAAATGTTTTGAGGCCAGGGGTGGTGGCTCATGCCTATAATCTTAGCACTTTGGGAGGCTGAAGCGGGAGGGTCATTTAAGCCCAGGAGTTCAAGACCAGGCTGGGTAACATAGTGAGACCTTGTCTCTTAAAAAAAAAAAAATTAGTAGCCAAAACTTAAAAATCAAAGTATTTCATTTTTAAAAACATCCAGATTTCCAAGCTTGCCTTGAAAAAAAATGGGCAATCTGGCAATTGCCAACCTTAAGTCTCTTATAGTAATGAACAGCTGGGGCTGCATAGCTGTCACCTCTTTTAGAGCATGAGCATTCCTGTCTGTTTTCCTGAGCCTTCTGTTTATCTTCCCTAGACCCCTTGCTCATTCACTTTCTGTGCCTGGAATCTGTAGGTATGTGTTTGAGTTTGGAAACCTTGACATGAAGGCTCCCTAGAGGCTTGCATCCTTAGTCCCAGTGAATACCCTGACGTAGCGTCTCAGTTCTATTGAGGGACAAGACAACAGCATGAGAGGCTGCACAGCAGAAGTCGTCTGTGTCATGGGGCAATGTACTTCACTGGCCGCATGTCAGCTGGCTGTGTGACCTACTCTAGAACACTCCATAGTTTTGGCTGTTTTCCTTTGTGTGATCTTGGCTTTCTCTTTTCTTCATAGATGTATTTATTTGTGGGGGCTATAATGGAGAGGTGATCCTGGGAGATATCTGGAAGTTGAATCTGCAGACTTTCCAATGGGTGAAGCTCCCAGCTACCATGCCAGAGCCAGTTTATTTTCACTGTGCAGCAGTTACACCAGTAAGTTTTTATTTTCATATCTTCCTTATGTAGTTACAGATGATAAAAAAATCTTTTTAGAGATATTAGCAAGAAAAAAACCCAAATATGGGCAAACCTTAGATTATTAATAATGTATTTTTAACACTTCCTCCCAAAGCTAGGCCATCCTCTGAGAAAAGAGGAGAAAAATCATCACACCCAAATTTGAGAGAATAACATAAATGTAAGAGAAATGCTACCTGTGGCATTCCGGCCCTGACCGTGATGTCAAAGGTGTCCTGGGAGGGTGGAATTGTTTTACCCCCTTGATACCATATTATTGAAGGTCCCGCTCATTTCTTGAAGCGATGGCCTTTATTTTCATCTTTGTATTACCAACATTTGGCATTTTGGATACTTAATATAGTTTAATGTTAGTTAATAGTGAAATTGTTTGTTGTTGAAGTAAAAAAAATTCATAGTTATAGGCCGGGCGCAGTGGCTTACGCCTGTAATCCCAGCACTTTGGGAGGCCAAGGCGGGTGGATCCCGAGGTCGGGAGATCAAGACCATCCTGGAGAACACGGTGAAAAAAAATATAAAAAATACAAAAATACAAAAAAAAGATTAGCCAGACGTGGTGGTGGGTGCCTGTATTCCCAGCTACTCAGGAGGCTGAGGCAAGAGAATGGCGTGAACCTGGGAGGCAGAGCTTGCAGTGAGCTGAAATCGTGCCACTGCACTCCAGCCTGGGCGACAGAGCAAGACTCTGTCTCAAAAAAAAAACAAAAAAAACCACATATATATATAGTTTTTCCCTTAGTAATTCGTTATTTAAACCCTCTTGATCTCCACATGATATTGGGATCAGTGAGGAATTCTTGTCTCATTTCAGTTTGATTCCATCTACTGTGCTCTTTCCCCGCTGAGTCTTCAGCCTTGTATGTTTCTCTCCCATTTGAATTTGTCCTCTTTTGACCACTCTTAGGCTGGTTGCATGTACATTCATGGAGGAGTGGTGAACATCCATGAAAACAAACGGACTGGGTCATTGTTTAAGATCTGGCTGGTCGTACCTAGCCTGCTGGAACTGGCATGGGAGAAGCTGCTTGCGGCCTTCCCTAACCTTGCAAACCTCTCCCGAACACAGCTTCTGCATCTTGGACTCACACAGGGACTCATCGAACGCTTGAAATGAGGATTTCTGGACTGTTCATTGATACTGGAAATGTTAATTTAAAGAGACTCCTTTATTTATGGGCAGTGTAGAATGTGCTACAAAGAGGATTGGTTACCCTGATCAAGGCCTTATTTAGAAAATACATCAGATGCCTTTCTGTAAATTGGTTTTTCAGTTTATGGACATCTCACTTTCCCACGTGCTTCCTTCTTTGCTTCTCTTCCTCCTGACCCATTACATGCACATGTATTCACATACTCCCTCTTCCTTCTCGATGGAGTTAAGGGAAAGCCTGAAAGTACCTTAATAATGTTTTTAATCAAGACAGATTCATTTTTAAAGGAATTCTGGACAGTTCCATGTCATACAATGTTCTAGAAATTAAAACATCACCAACATAAACAAAAATGAAATTAAAAAATTTTTACATCTAGCAACAGCAACAACCACAAGTTTAGGGGAAGCTGAGAAGGCTAACCTTGGGAATCTTGCAGGTTATACTTAAACCTAGATGTTTAACTTAGTGTTTTCAAGATGTGTCTAATTGACTAGTAGCTGGGTCTGATGGCAGCAGTGGTTGCCATCTTGTTGCATAGATAACTCAAACCTACCCTTTGGCTTTGAAGGAAGGTTAAGCAGCCCAGCACCTCTTGGTTAGTGATTTCTTTCTCATCCTCACGGTGCCAGCAGTGGGTAGAGTTGGCTGTCAAAGGACTCATATGTGTGTCGTGGTTGTGCTCTTTGTTGTTGCTCTTAGAAATTATAGCATCAAGAATGTTTCAAATGGAAACACTTGTGGTGGCCAAAGTTCTTCATTCTGGCAGTTTTGAAACTCTCTTATGCTTATGAATGGTTTTAAATATCTCTTTGACTTCTTCATGGGGAATTGCAGACCCTAAATATGTGGTGTAAATGCCGTGTAACATGAACACAAGTTCCCGAGGGAGGCCAGGGAAGAACCAGGCAGAGAAAACCTGCATCCTCTGGGCTTGTTAACTTGGCTTCCGCTCAGGCTATGGTCTTTGGCTATCATCTTGGCCATTTCCTTTTGAGAACTTGTTTCTTTTCTAATCTCTGGGCCAGGTACCTGCCATTTTCTCAGGCAGTTGGTCCTTGATTTTTCCCTTAGCTTGTTGCCTTCTTTTCTGTCTGCTTTAATGTGCATGGTGCTGTGAGTAATTGTCTAGTTATTGGATACAAGGTCTTGGGGGTAAAGCCACAGGTCATCCTTCCTGAAGAACCAAGTATCATTTAAAAACTAGCATGAGGAAGGAATGAAACTGAGTAGCATTCATTTTTTGTGTGTGAAATTTCAGTTCTGGTTTGTTTGATTTGTTTTTTTAAATTCTAAAAAGAATGATATAAATTTTCACTTGCTTTGCCATCAGGCTGCTAGGGGAGCTGAGCAAGAGGCTCACTATGCGCATGTGTAAGCCGCAGGTGTACTCAAGGTGCTGAAGGCGTGCAAGGGGCAGCGCTGGTCCTCCCGGGGCCACCTCACAGCAGGAGACTTGCATGGGAGAGTTGGAACACACCTTTCCTTTAAGTGCCTCTTTTTTCACCTAGCTTTTAAAGTTATTCTTTTTCCTTCATCTCAGAAGGGATCTCTTTAGCTTATGTGTGGATTTAAAATGACCTTTGAGCTACAGTTAAAAAGTTACCATCTGGTGTTCAGTTCTGGGGAAGAGAAAACCGCGGCCTCCAGACATGCTCCTGATCTCTAGGCCTTATCATACCATCCCCTCTGTGATGGGTTGAGTTCATGGAGCCTGTATTCTGGGAAGTCTTATAATAACCACGCACCTGTGAACTTGGGTCCTTTCTGGGGAGTGAGGAATGTGGGAGAGAGGCAGGAAAAGGAGCAGCTCCTCTAGGGGCCCATCCTCCCACATCTTGCCATTACCAGTCTGTGTAGCCCTTAACCTCCTGTCACCACTGCCAGGCTTGCTTCTCTGTGCTCTCCCAGAGCAAGCCAGTCTGAGCAGCTCCATTAGTCCAAAACAGAGCTTTGCTGCATGACTCCAGCCTGGCCTCTGGATATTTGGTGGAAATATATCCCAAATTGAACAAGCCAGGCTGTCTAGGGTGGCAAGAGGATTTTTGACCTGGATTTATACAGGGACCAAAGACTGAATGCTCAGCCTCTGTGCTTAGACTTTCATGGTCCTTAGGATAGAAGCAAGTCTCTAGCCCTGCTACACCAGAGAGCTGAAGAGAGATGTGGTCTGGTTCCATCCACACTTGCTGGCATCCTTTGTTAAGCCTCCTGAGGGCAGTCTTCTTTGAGGTAGACCTTGGAGGCCTGACATCGAAGACCTGTGTGTTTTATTTTCATAAAAGTATATATCCTTGGTCTAAAGTGTCTTCTTTTAATATAACACTAGTAAAAATGACGTGGTATGACCAGCACTGAGTGCTATAGAACCACACATGAGCACATGTTCTGGATGCCAAATGACTGTGTGTGAATGACTAAGTGTAGATAACTAGAAATTAGATAGGGGTCATCAGGCATTTCAGTATACCAATAACCAGCACTCGAAATTCCTGACACTGTTTACTTGATTTAGGAAAGTTTATGCCTGCTGCTTCTCTGCCTCTTTGAGGTACTCCCAGCCGTCTTACTACAGTCCTGTAAATTTAAGTGCAATATGTAGAAACATATGGATATATACAGATTATATATAGGGTGTAACTATAAAGCAGGTAGACTACTTTTTTTGCGTCTTGGGGAAGTGAGCTTATTACTTTAGGGTCAAATTATGCCAAGAATTTTAGATGTGATCAGCTGGCTTAAGCCAACTCATGGGAAAGCTGGATTTTCAAGTCTATGTTTTCTTACTCCAAGATGGAACTCTTAGAGACTCATTGTTCCTTAAGTGTGTTAGAGTTGAGATTTTTTTCTCCCTGTTATCTTTGCACTAGCTCATGTTTGCATGTCTTACATTTTGTTGCCCGAGAACAAGGAAGTCCGTCTGTAAGGAGTTTCCTAAATGGAGAATTAAAATCTAGTATTTAACACTATCCATTCTCCCATGTATATACTAATTTATCTGGAAATGTAACACTTTATTAAATGAAGAAAATTATGCTTTCTTCATTTAATATTTTCCACATCCTGGAAAAACTATAAACTGACACAGAATAAATTGAAATCTTAACTGTCCTTCAGGGGCTGAACAAAACCCTTTCCATCGGCAGAATCTCCTTTTTTCAGGGCCATAATGATACGATGTAAAAATTTGCTTTAAACCATTCATGTCCTTACATAGCTAGATTTTAAAGTGTAATAAGCATATTAACATTTTTAAGCAAAAGATAGGTTAACAGTGACCTTTGGTTATCCACCAGTAGCAAGAGTAAAGCACAGATCATTGAAATCCATAGATAATCAGTGAATCAACTTTTCTATCAAACAGTAGATGCATTTACATTTATTTTTCCTCTCTATCCTTTCCTCTAAGCACCTGTTTTTCCATGGAATGGGGCTAATGAGTAGTTAGAAAAGGAAAAGGAACAATCAGTAGGAGCTGACAACCAGTGACCATATAAGCAGCTGATTGCCTGTAATTAGTCAGTCTGAACAATTAGAGTTGAATGCTGACATTAGGAACCACAGGTGGTAATCCTGAGTAGATGTAACTCTTCAGCATCATCTCCTGCCCTGAGCTCCAGGCCATCTCTCCTCTAACCACCAAAGAACTCTTAGTACCTATGGGAAGGAAAAGCTGTGTGCAACACAGAGAAAATTCCATTATTTGAACACATTTATTTGGCTCTTGATAAATACTTGCTTTTCCTCTAATCTTGCAAGATGTCCTCCATTTTCCAATCACACAACTTGGCATGTAGGAAAGGTTGAATGATCCTCTAAGACTGTGTTGGTCTTAGTATTCTGTAAAACCAATTTTTTTTTTTTTTTTTGTGGTCTTACAGATGTTTAGAAAGTGGCACAGGTTACTGAATTGTCTACCTGCCAGCATTCTGATGTAGCACAAAAAGCTATTTTCCTTTATTTTTTTGTATTAATTTTTCTGGCATTGAGCTCTAGGGTGGATGAAGGTTTATGGTCCTCTGATTATAAGCTCCATTCTAAAAACTGGTCACTGTTAGCTGAAATTGCTGTGGTTCCCCAAATGCCTTGGAACTCCAGACGCACCCGCAGGGCCTGAGGTAGGTTTCATAGAGTTCTAGGACGTCTGTGTGCGTTGCCACCAGATCCTGTCTAGCAATGGCCTTTCCCTTCTAAGATCATTAGATTCAGCCAAAAGCGACCTCTTCCCTAGTCTGGTGTTATGAACAGAAGTTCTGAGTTGTGCTACAAAAGTAGTTCCATCTTTTTATTGTAATTTTCATGTTTTTAATTTGAAAAAAAAAACAAAAACTTTTTATAAGGTTTTTTAAGGGCCCTGCTTAGTCAGTGTACAGGATGGAGTCAGAGGCAATTTTCAGGAAAAAAAAAAACAAAAAACAAAAAACAATGTCACCAAGCGGTAGTAATTGTTATCTTACTAGTTATACATTTAGAATATAAAGGAGGCATCAGAAAACACACTCTCTAAAGCCACTTCCTTGTGCACAGAGTCTGCACAGGGAGAGCACAGGCATCTCCCTGGAAAAGCACCTGCCAATGACGAATTTCCTGGAAGAACCTAGGCAAGAAAGGAAGCCTCTTTCTGAGACGCAGTCTGTGGGAGGTGAGCCTAGCTTTGCTCTTCCTACAGGGTATGCTTGGGCCATACACAATGCTCGCCTTACTTTAAAGCTATTTTGCCACAGTCCTGTTAAATAGTGTGGACGTCCTTTTGCAGTCTGGTGTGCATGCCATATGATCAGGACAGCTTTTCCACTTTACTCGGTTTCCTACAAGCAAGTAGGAAATATAGTGAATTTACCCTAAAATGTCCAATCTGTATTTATGTACCTTGTCAGTGTTTTGCTGTTGGTTTTCTAAAACAATCTGATCAATAAATCTTATCCAAATCAATTTGGTTCAAGGCCACCTTGATTGTCTGATGGTAATTTGTGTGTACGTGAGTGCACCTGTATGACAGAAGCGTCAGTCCTACCCACCTCCACCACCCCCACCAGGCTCAGCTTTTCTCTGTAATATCTGTGAGTCATCTGCCTTCCACCCCCACTCCGCTGTGGGTTCTTTATCTGCTCACTGTCTGGAACTCCTGGACACACAAGAGTTCCCTCACCAGCACGCTGCTCCCTCCACAAAGACATCAGCAAGGGAGCAACTGCCGGGCAGCCCACACTCCCTCTCACCGCCCCACCCCCATGTTCCCCAAACCACCTCGAGACAAGTTTGTATAGGTATATCAAGACTTTTCTAAAGGGCTGGAAGAGCTACAGAGAATTCAAAGGGAAAATGTGAACCTGTATATGTAGTCATATGACTGTCTTTATGATCTGAGGGAAGAGCCCCAGGAGCTGCTGAGCCTTGTGCAGGGGTCCTCTGGGGGTGAAACTACACTTCCTAGCTCTGCCCTTGGCCTTCCAGATGCTTCCCTCACCAAAACCTCTGTTTTGTGATACTGCAATCTCTAATCCTCTAACCCTTCTCCATGCAGTACTTTCCTCCATGTCTGTTTAGTCCAGAGGAGGTAGGCAAGGATACTCCCAAGTCTGGTCATTTTTCAGGTCTCCCTTCAAGAATTGCACAAATGCCTCTTATTTTTCAGTGTTTCCGTTGGTTAACTATTGGATTGAGCACACCTTCCATGGACAAGTAATCTTAGATATTACAATATACATCTACAAGGAAGAAGAGAAGCAGTTTCTACCCATTCATCCACCTTACAGTTAATACTTTATTATACAGAGCAGTCTTCTTTCCTTGGGTTTATTTCTCCTACCTCTTAACTATACTCCTCTCCAACCTACCAGATATAGGTAATGGACCCTATACCTTTCGGTCTTTAGACCAGCCAGAGCTTTGAAATGGACTCTTATGTGCATCTGATTTGGTTCTTAATATAAGGCATCTAAGACCCATCTTGGCCTAGTGGGAGGGGTTTCAGTGGCCTTTATGTGTATACAATTCTAGTTTGTCAAAATGATATTGTTAAGCTACTGTAATTGAACAACCACATTTTCTTGTAGTTAATCTTCTGCAGTAATTGCTTGAGGGAAGAAAACACTGGTAAAACCATCCAGTTTCCCTACTGCCTTCACATGAAAGGCCAGGTTCTAGCCCAGTGCTAGAGCAATAGAGCTTTGTGCAATAGTGGAAATGTTTTGTATCTGCATCATCCAATATGGTGGTAGCCACAAGCCACATGGGGCTTTTGAGTACTTCAAATGTGGCTGGTATGGCTGAGGAACTGAATTTTTAATTTGATTTAATTTTCATGTATTTATATGGAAAGAACCACACATGGCTAGTGGCTACCTCTTAGTGCAGTTCTAGAAAGAGATGACCTGGGGGGTTAGGAGACAAGGGCTCTGCTCTTGGCTCAGTCCATAATAACCCTGTTCTGTATGCAACTTGCTTTTCTTTGGGTCTTGGTTTACTCATCTGTCAAATGTGAGGTTAGCTAGATAATCCCCATATCTAACATTCTTTATTTAGGATGTTTGGCCAAAAGCCTGGAGCATAGTGGTGAGTACCATAGGTGTACAGCGCTAGGACTAGAGTTACCTCTTAAACTTGATCCTGATCTTAAGATCACTGATCTCATCATGGTGGGAGGTCTACTGCCCGCTCCAGGTGGTTCCTTAGTGAGTGGCACAGTCAGGATTTCCACTTGCATAGTGCAGGCTCCAAGAAAAAGTATTGAAAATAGAGTAGGGACTAGAACACGGCCACTGCCAGGCCACCTGTAACCCACTGGTTTCAAAATCATGATCCATACTTGTTAACCATACAGATTCCTGGGCCCAAACCCCAAGGATTAGATTTTAATAGGTGTGTAATTTTAATAAACTCTTTCGTTGATTCCAGTTCAGCTGGTTTAAGATGTTTGGGAACCACTGTCCCAGAGCTGAACTAACTGGCCAATGCTGGCCAAGCAAAAGTAAACTTTGCTACTTTACTTTTTAATGTCATATTTCATTGTCCAGCAGGGGACTTCATTGCAAAGGCCAGAATGAACGTTTCCCAATCCTTGCCCCATTAGAACTCAGTGGCAGACGGAGTACACAAGTATTCTCCACTCCTTGGAGAACCACTAAGATAACAAAGTGGCCCTAGTTTCCTTTTCTCTGAAATGGGCCAATAATAGTAACCTCTCTCCATACTACTGTGTGGCTGAAATAAGTACATATGGGTAGAGTGCCTCAAATGACACCTGGCATATAGTAAGCATTATGGAGATATTGACTGTGATTGCTCTCTAGTTGATGGAGTAAGAAATAAAAGTAAAACCTGGGTGTGGTGGCTCACGCTTGTAATCCCAGCACTTTGGGAGGCTGAGGCGGGCCGATCACCTGAGGTCGGGAGTTCGAGACCAGCCTGACCAACATGGAGAAACCCCATCTCTACTAAAAATACAAAATTAGCCAGGTGTGGTGGTGCATGCCTGTAATCCCAGCTACTCGGGAGGTTGAGGCAGAAGAATAGCTTGAACCCAGGAGGCGGAGGTTGCAGGGAGCCAAGATCGCACCATTGCACTGCAGCCTGGGCAATAAGAGTGAAACTCCATCTCGGGGGAAAAAAAAATGCTTACTAAAAATTACAATAAAGTTAACCAATAAAGAAGAAACTAAATGTAGGACAAGGGAGGGAGGGTGGTGATGCAAGTGAGCTGAGTTCTGCTCTCCATAGCAGGAAGGGGATAAACAGAATGTCTCAGATTGAAGCAATAGCCGGGTACACATGTAAATTAGAGATACAAAGGTGGGTATCAGGCCGGGCACGGTGGCTCACGCCACTTTGAGAGGCTGAGATGGGCAGATCACCTGAGGTCAGGAGTTTGAGACCAGCCTGGCCAACATGGCGAAACCCTGTCTCTACTAAAAAAACAAAAATTAGCCGGGCATGGTGGTAGATGCCTGTAATCCCAGCTACTCAGGAGGTTGAGGCAGGAGAATTGCTTGAACCTGGGAGGCGAAGGTTGCAGTGAGCCGAGATTGTGCCATTGCCCTCCAGCCTGGGCGACAGAGCAAGACTCCATCTCAAAAAAAAGAAAAAAAAAGGTGGGTATCCAAAAAGCAGCCACAAGAGCTCACAGAGCTCATGGTAGTAAGACAGGTGATGAGGCAGAGGGGCTGTGGCAGTGACTGCTGGTTTTTGAGTGTGATCCTGATTTTTTTTTTTTTTTTTTTTTTTTACTTTTTCTGCCTTCCTAAAGCAGAACCTTCTGTAGCTCTTTCAGTCTAGCTCTTCTTCAGAATATGGCAAGTCTGAGTCTCTTCTGACCACTAAGACAGGGTGATTCAAAGCATGCAGCTAGAGTATTCATATTTTCAAGTTCCTCCCCGGTTCAGCTGCAGCCTCACTGGTACTTGAGAATCTTTGATTTAAAAGCCAATCCTAGAGGCTAGTGGAAGGAAAAAATGGAGGGGAGGGAGGAGGTTTTTAAAAAATACACACTCTGTCAAGTTTTAGATGTGGGGTTTTGTTGGTTTTCGCTTTATTTGAGACAGGGTCCCTGGCTGGAGTGCGGTGGCTCGATCACAGTTCCCGGGCTCAAGTGATCCTCTTACCTCAGCCTCTTAAGTAGCTTGGACCACAGGCATGTACCACTACACCTGGCTTAGCTGTGATTTTATCCTGTTGCCCAAAGCCTATTCCTTACCATCCTCTCCATTAATAAAATCAAACAAGAACATTATTGTAGAGCAGAGGTTTTTTCTTTCATCCACAGCCAGGGGAGAGGAGGTAGTTTTGAGTGACATACAAAACCGACCCAGCCAATCTGCTCACCCTGCACCGGCCTTGCAGCCTCAAATGCAAAAGCAAGAGGCTTCTCAGATTCTCCAGCAGACAGCTCAGCAGGGGGACCTCAGCAGCCCATGCAGGAAGGCAGGTGCCACACACCGCTCAGGGAGGTCAGGAGCCACCCCAGCCCAGCTCCGGGACTTGGGAAGAGAGGGCAGAGACAGCCGGGAGCTCTGACCACTCACTATTTGGGGGCCCCACAGCAGGCTGGGAGCTTTAGAGTATTGCAAATGACATCCATGAAAAGAGAAAGCAGCTGCCATGCAGCCTGTGTCACCTTAGAGGGGTCAGACTGGTCAGTTTATCCTCCTCGAACCTGCCACCTAGAACCGCCAGGCTGAGGAGGCTTTCACCATGACCGCCAAGGGTGTGTTCAAAACCCCCACCCCACTGTCAGGGAGCAAACTTAGTCTCCCAGCCCCAGAAAAATACATCCGGGCCATCCAGGCCTCTTCTGCACCTGGGTTATTTACTACCCAAACCTCACCTTGAAACAGCTAAGATCAGGTCATGGTTCAGGATGTCGGCCCCTGCCTGGGCTCACCCTGCACGGTACAGGCTTGCTGTCCACAAAGATGCCGTTTATAAGAACAGTAGGCACGGGGGTATCTCAGAGCTACTTGCATACTAGGGCATCCAGGATGAGAACTCCAGCTTTACACCGGATCTAACCCCGGACCCCAAGCACGCACACTACCCCAGAGCCCAGCCTCTCCACCCACTGCCATGTCAACCAAGCATTTCCAGTTCATTTTCTCCTCGGCAAGCCTGTATTGAATCGCAGGCCTAGAAGTTTTATCCCCGTTTCACAGATTGGCAGGCTAAGACAAGACAAATTCAGTGGTTTGCCAAGGGCCAGAGAAGGGAGCCCAAGTCTGCAAGCCTGCAAGGTCGCGTTCATGAGAACTTTCATCCTCCTGTGACCCGGCGGCAGGCACATGGGCCTGGGTGGTTACTGAGAAAATTCTTTCAGAAGGGCTTTCAGGGACGTGAAGTCACCCCTGGCTTCCCGGGATTCGGGGTTGGGAGCAGCCGCGCAGGAGCGGTGAAGCCAGAGGCCAGGGCGGTCCGTGCTGCGGGCGGCTCCCCAAGGCCCGGTGCGCTGGGC